AGATACCACTCTATTTTATAGGGATCCAGTAATTTTTTTTCATAAGGTGAATTCAGCCTCAGCTAACACTATCTTTATAATTTCCACGTAGGATTACTATGATAGCCATGAAACTATTCTTGAAGTATACAAAAGGTGAACAGGAAGCTTAAGTATCGTGTGTGTTAACAAAATATCAAAAATTTCATTTCCTACTATTCTTAAGAATAAATTAACACATTTACTTCACACATAATAGTCCCAACTGATCAGACCTTGACATTATTATAAACATTTCAGAGTTTTATAGTTAAAAAAAGCCTTAAACTTCATCTGATAAAAATCTTTATTTTACAAATAAGAAACTAAAGATTAACAGAGTTAATTATTGCAGAGGTGAATCAAGAGTAGGACTCCTAACTACTTATCCAGGAATCATTTACACACTGGAGATGTAAATCTTGCACCTATTTCCTTTAGTCGTTCATTCTGCTATATACTCCCAAGACAACAGGAATCAGCCAACACACTATTAATCAACTCATTGACAACTGCAAGCAAAGTACTGTGTCCCTGAATTTTCTCTCCAGACTTAATCCAAAATAAATTCACTCTGTTTACTCTTTAGTGCACAGTATAAAATATCTAAGTTCTACGGCAAACTAACCTAAAACGAACGATAAACTATCTTTAATCCTCTGTGTTGTTGTTGTTTTGTTAATGTTGTAAAATCAGTAATGAGGGAAAAAAGAACAACAACAAAAAAACCTTATCTGTTGCCAAGTGCCATTTTCAAAGGAAACTAATTTTTAAAATAAATTCAAATTTTAATCAACTTGTCAAGTGTATCCCAATGAACTGAAGTATTAAGAAGTCAAAGTAAAATCTTATGTCATAATATTTATCTGCCAATTTTCTAAAAGTTAATATTTAAAATGATCCATAAAGAAAGTTTCTGGATTTAATTATCCTAAAATTTTATTTAAGGCTTTGTTCCCTAAGTTATTCAATGTTTAAACTGCAACATGATAAATTATGCTTTGGTATTAATTACAAGAACTAATACAAGATTTTGGTTTTTGCTGGGTTTTGAGATTCAATATTCACACCTAAACGCGTAATAAGCCTTGAAAAATAGATGAATGAAAACATGTCCCTATCCTCAAAGAGCACATAATTTAGTAAGTGATATAAGCATGTAGAGAAATAAATTATACACACACTACAGGGGAAGTCAGCACAACTGGACTAAATCAAAGCTGTTTCCTGAATACAATCAAACACTATGAGGGATACAGTAGCAGGGGTAGGGGTCTGGGGACCATGCTTTCAGGGGACATCTAGGTCAACTGGCATAACAAAGCTTATTAAGAAAACGTTCTGCCTGTGCATGTAGAAATTTTTGAAATGGTGTATCTTTGGCTATGTGTATTTTCACCAAAAAAAAAAGGTTGAGAAGTTAGAGGGTTAATATGTTGTGGGGTTGTTAACCAATGTCATAAAACAACATGTGTACTACTGTTTCATGAGAAACTATTTGTTCTGTAAGCCTTCACCTGAAGTACAATAAAATACAAAAAGAAAAGAAAATGTTCTGCATCCTACTTTGGTGAGTGGCATCTGGGGACTTAAAAGCTTGCAAGAGGCCATCTAAGATGCATCGATTGGTCCCAACCACCTGGAGTAAAGGAACATGAAGAACACCAAAGACACAAGGAAAGTATTAGCCCAAGAGACAGAAAGGGCCACATAAACCAGACACTTCATCAACCTGAGACCAGAAGAACTAGATGGTGCCTGGCTACCACCAATGACCGCCCTGACAGGCAACACAACAGAGAGTCCCAGATGGAGCAGGAGAAAGGTGGAGTGCAGAACTCAAATTCTAGTAAGACCACACTTAATAGTCTGACCGAGACTAGAGGAACCCCGGAAAGCATGGCCCCTGGATTCTCTACCAGCCCAGAACTAAAACAATTTCCGAGGCCAACTCTTCAGACAGGGATTGGACTCTGGACTGTGGGACATAAAGTGATACTTGTGAGGAGTGTGCCTCTTAGCTCAAGTAGATACAAGAGACTAAATGGGCAGCTTCTGTCTGGAGGTGAGATGGGAAGGCAGAGAGGGTTAGGAGCTGGTTGAATGGACATGGGGAATCAGGGGTGAAAGGGAGGAGTGTCCTGTCACAGTGTGGGGAGAGCAATCAGAGTTACATAACAGTGTATGTATAAATGTTTGTATGGAAAAAAATTAAAAAAGAAATAAATTATAATAAAACATAATATGACAATGAACAAAAAAGGTAGCATAGAGAACATAACTAGATAGTCAGGGAAGGTTTCACAGTGATATTCAAATTACTTTTGATGAAAGACAGGAATTGGACAGTAGAACTTAAAACAGGTTATTTCTTTATACAAATCTGATGTGACAGAAGGCATTACAGTGGTTCTCCAAGGCCAGGGTTAGGGACTGGGGATTGACTGGGAAGGTATACAACAGAAACACTGAAGTGATGAAATGTTCTAGATCATCCATTATAGTGATAGTTACCCAGGTGTACGTATTTCTTAAAACACATCAAATTGTACACTTCAAGTATGTGCATTTTATCATATGTAATTTATATCCCAATAAAGTATTTAAAAAGGGAATAGGGGAAACCAAATGGGCTGTTCTTCGTGTTGCAAAACCTCTTTTATATTCCAATAATCACAAGGTAGTTATCAATGTTCTATGAGGAGGAAAATGTTTTCTCTAAATAAACAGTTTAAAGCTACAGTGATGTTTCTTATTTTAGGCTACTCTTAAAGATGTAATGGGTAAAAAAATGTACAGCTTGGCAGATTTCCAATAGAACAGACTATTTCTAAGTTTATATTATACTGCTAAAAACAGCATTTCCATAATACAAATTTCCATTTATAATGTAATTACTGAATGTGTGGGTAAGAAAATACTAGATGAGGCATTGAGGAGTTCTTTTTACTAGCTTTGTGATTCTGACCAAATTAATTCACATCTCTGGGATTATTTCAGCTCTAAAAATAATGTCAGTTTCTCTATGGTGTCTTTCATTTTTAATATTCAATTATTCTTACAAGGTTGAAATCCCTACACAGAGTCTACAAATGAAACCCCTACGGTAAGTCCCTGATGTTGAAAGTGACACACTAAAACAAGTGTTATCAAGTTCACTGACTAGCAGAAGGGTTTTCTGCAACTTTTGGGATTGTTGATTTGAGGTTCTTGGTCAAATTTATCTATTTTAATAAAATTTTACTTATATCTATTATTTTTTATTAGCTAATTACTTACAGGGGTATTTCCAAAATTTCTACTGTACTAAATGCATTAATCTATACATACCACTCTCTGTGCATATGAAGAAATTGAGGGTCATTAAATATCTTTCTCAAGAGATCATCTCTGCAAGGACAAAACTATTAGATCAAATAGAATGTCAACTTATACAACTTTTCATAGTTCCATGAGAAACAGGTAAAAAAGAACTTAGATGAGTAGCCAAGCCATCAAATTATTAAGTGGTGCCCTCAAAACTAGATTCAAAAAGCATTAAACACAGGAATGGTCAAAGAGGTCTTGTAGTCTTCAGATCAAGCTAAATCTCTTCAAGAGGTCCTCCAGTGGCTATAGCAATTTATCATGGACCCACTGTAAAGAATTAAAACTTTGAAAAAAACCTGCTATCTGCAGGCAAATAGCTAGTTTTTGTAGGAGGCATGAAAAACTAAAATAGATGTTTTAAGAACAATTAGGGGTAGGGTCCACAAATGTAGAGGCTGTTATTAGGAAAGGAAAATTTAATAAATGTTTTTAAAATGTGACACAATGTAAGGAAAGTTTCAATGATTAATAGATATACAGAAGTTAAACGGTATTATATACCAAAATTACTTCTGCAGTTATAAGAGTTATGCTTGATAATTTAACTGTTCGTCACTTAGGTTGCTAAATTAAATATGGTTCATGCATATGATAAGTTATATGCAGCCATTACGAATAAGGTACATAAATAGATGTATAAATTTTTGTATAGGAGACTAACTTGAAATGTAAGCTTCATTTAAACTACAACAATAAAAAAAAAATAAGGTACATATGTATGTACATGCTGATATGAAAAGTTCAAGTATATGGAGAAAAGCAAAGCAGTGAACAGTGTATCTTATATAATTTTTTGTTTATGCAAAATGTTTTAGAAACAATGTATACATGGATGCATGGATATTGATACAAACATAGTATTTTTTTTGGAAGGATATTCAAGAAAAACTTTGTAAAGAAAAAGTTGGTTAATGTTACGTTTAGGGAGACAGCCTAGGATGGACAGAAACAGTTTTTCCGTTTTTACTTTCTGCACTACCGAAAAATTGCTAGCAATAAGCATTTGTTAATACTAATGTTTAAAAATTATGCCCTTAGGTTCAGATTATGAGTCATTTTTCCCCTTTATATTTTCCATACTTAAAAAAGAAGAAGTAATGTTTGGCTTTTTAAATTTTCTCTTTTTAAAAAAACAAAAAACACAGTATTCCTGGTAGTTTAGGTGTTAATTCAGTTGTTTAGAGCACCAAAAACAAAGGTCAAGATTTTGATTAATTACATTTGCAAAGAGTAAAAACATCCCTTGGTCACAGAATGCATTTTTAACTTTAAAAAGTCATCTGGCAAACCCATGCTGCTGATCCGATCACAAGGATGAAATCAGGTAAGAGCATGTGGCTGACTCAATACAAAACAATAATGGAAAGTAAGTAATGTTCTACTGACCAAGGGTAACAGAGTAGACAGCAGAGCTACTTAACTCTAAGCAAACGTTTCAATTTTCATATCCATTAACTTGCTACACTTCTGAATAGAATATAAACAAGACCTTACCCATAAGAGAAAATACAGTGCCTATACTTTTAGAAAAGCTATACGTCAAAAAATTTATTATTTTCTAAAACGGTACATTTCTTAATAGAACCATATAAATATCAAATAAAGTACTATACCTGCAACATCTTCTGAATCTGATACAACAATATGTGCATTTAATTCCTGTAGCTTGTGATGCAGTTCTTCTAATTTTTTATTGGATTTTTTCAAAATGTTGTCTACATAAGCCAAGTTTTTTTTATCTGTTGTAACCTTCCTCAGATTTTCAGCTCCTTCTTTGATTTTCAGTTCTTTCCTTATTTCTCTCTTGATTCGATCCTTGATATCATCCAATTTCTGTTGCACCACCGTGTCTGAAAAGTCTAATTTTTGAACAGCACTAACACTGTCAGAAAATGGAAGACTTCGGGAATCCCCCTATAGGAAAAACAAAACAAAACACAAATATAGAAGTTTAGGAAATTTAGCTGTTCAGTAAAACGTGCAGCCTAATGATAAAACTACATTTTCAGCATAAAATAGTCTTTTATTACTTTTAATGCTCTCCTTAATAAGCTACATACTTTATTATAATCATACAAAATCATAAATCCTGCCTACTCACTAAACAGCATTACTTGACAAATACATTTATATTAAAATAAAGTGACACCCATATGACCACGTTTAAGTTAATGATTTAAATGCATTAAGGTTTGGGAAACTGTATTGAAGCCTCCATTTATATATTTCATCAATAACAATCAAAACTGATAATCTAGTTGACTCAACACAAAAACATCATTACTAGATAATATCTCTAAGTTATGCCCTATTGACAGAAACTAGGACAATACACAGAACAGTAGTACATCTTAAAATAAAAATCAAATCAGGCAAGCTATTCTACATTTAAAATAATCAAAGTTATATTCCAGCTATTTGTGTATCATTTACTATTTTAAACTCCATTAGTATAAATTCTGAAACAAAATAAACTAGAGATAATAGTTACCTCTCTGAAGGGAAACTGAAGCTCCTGAAGAATATGGAAAAGAGAGCGACTTAGAATTCACTGTACACCCTTTATGCACCTTTTAAACCACAAGCGTAATTTATGAAAAGATTTTAATGTCTTTCAGAATTCATCAAACCTCTATAAATCAGCTCCATTTAAATTCCTGGTAATTTTTTTATATCTAATTTTTTTTATTTCCGAAAAACACGTATCATGCCAAAATAGCGGAGAAGGAGAGCTAATGGTTGGCAAACACAGGATCTATCCTTGGCTTTGGTGCTAATTTATCCTGTACCCTTAGGTGCATTATGTAAAACTTGAAGTAGTTGGTCCATAAATTTGTTCTTAACATTTCTAGGGCCAAGAACCCTGCTGAAATTCTGATTAAAAACAAAAAAAAAGTAGAAAAAAGAAAATTTTGCATGCATGTATGTATAATTTCCAGGTTCCATCGATTCTAGGTTAAGAATCCCTGGAATAAGTGATTTACACCTACTGGCCTTAAAATTCTGATTTTTATCTACATAGATATAGGATGATATTATCTGGGCTAGAATAAAGTCTACGTTTTTTAATACAGTTGCCCTTCCGTATCCGCGAGGGATTGGTTTCCGGACCTCATGTGGATACCAAAATCCAAGATGCTCAAGTCCCTTATATAAAAGGGTGTAATATTTACATATAATCACGCACATCCTCTCGTATACTTTACATCATCTCTAGAATACTTATAATACCTAATACAATGTAAATGCTATATAAATAGCTGTTACACCGTACTGTATTGTTTAGGGAATAACAGCAAGACGGGAGACACACAATGCTCAAACAACGAGCGCTGGAGAGAGACTTAGGATCTGTGAAATGGTGGGAGGCTACAGCATAATACGCCTTCACATCACTTCACCTGCGTAGATTCAGGGTAGTGCTCCACGCACAGCAAATTCAAGTTTTGCTTTCTGGAACTTCCCTCTCCCCCCGGGATATTTTCAATGTACGGTTGGTTGAATCTGTGGATACGGAACCCACGGATATGGAGGGCCAACTGTATTTATAATGGAATGTAAGTCCTACTACCTATTTAGTTTCCAAAGTTTATGAATCCACCTTTGGCTTGCGAAAAACACAGAAAGCATTATATACAGACTGCTTACAGAACATTAATTGCTTTAACAAATTGGTGCTTTAATATTATGTACTAAGCCACAGCTTCCCAAAATTTCTTGGTTCATGGCACCCTTGTTCTTGTTGTTAGCTGCCTTCCAGTCAGTCCCCAACTCATGGCAACTCCATGTGTTACAGAGTAGAACTTTTCCATAGTTTTCTTGCCTGTACTCTTTATGAAACTAGTTCACCAGGCCTTTTTTACATGTGGCCATTGGGTGGGTTCGAATTGCCAAACTTAGGTTAGCAGCTGATCACAAACTCCTTGCGTGACCTGAGATTCTTCACAACACCCTTAGTGTCTCGGTGATGTTTTCCTTGTGCCCCACAGGCCAAAGGAAATACCTAACAGTTCTATTCATTAAGTAGTAAGATCCAAATAACCTAATACTTACGTTGTAACAATTTACTAGTTGTTTGAAATAATAATACACATAAAGGAAAAAATAACATTTTATTTCATTCTTTAATAGCTACAGTTAGTTACTAATGGGATGTAACTGCCTGTGGGGTATTTTACATTTCTTCAACCTTGGAATCAGACTAGACATTACTACCAACCTCACGATCTGTTCCACACTGATTTTTTGCACAGTACTTGCTTTCTTCACAGCAATTACTAAAAACTCAGCTTCAGAAAGGGAATGTAGAATCATCTAATATTTAAACTGTTAACTGTGTCCAGCTAGCTCATATGGTGTCTAATGAACAAAGCTTCAAAATTTTAAATATACCGCAGCATTCTCAGAGTTTGCTGGCACCCCAGAGAGCTTTGGTGCACAGTTCTGGAACCAGGGTACTAAACTTTAAAGGCTTTTTAAAAGAAACTGTCACATGAAAATGGCTTTTGTATTTGATGTGAATCTTCTGAAGGCCTCTGCCTACTTCAACTCCTATTTCTTTCCAATTTGCTCCCTAAATTCCAATCATAACAAATTATGGAAACTTACTGCAGGAAACACAATCACTCTTGGCTCAGTCACTATGCATGCTGTACCTTTGAGATGGACCCCCTTCCTTCCCTTCCTTCTTCAACTATCTCTTCCAAGTTCTTTCTTGGCCCAGTTCTACTTTATTTCAAAATTCATCACAACTCTTCCTGAGAAAGAAATCCCTCCCCATGTTCTCCCTTAAAATGTGGATTAAATGCCTCTCCTGCGTGCTCTGATGGTGTGCATCTTTTTAAACAATCATCCCTTTTCTTGTCTGACCATCCCAAAACACTGAGCAATTTGAGGGCAGAGCCTATGCCTGGCAGAGTAGTTTTGTTTTTAATGATTTGTCCATTATGTTATTTAATATTCTTTCTGAATTCAGGAAAACGTGTCACTGCTGAGAAACTCAGTTTTCCCTGTTTCGGAGAACAAGAGAACTCGAACTCCAGGGAGCCCAACGGCAAAACCGGTATTCAGTCACAGCAACTATATTACCACCTATGGTTAACATGTTCCTCTTCCTTTCCACAGACCTGATTTCCCCCCTTTTTAGGAAGCACATTTTACTCCCATCTTTCGTTGTGACAGTGGCTCAAATATTTCTGGAAAGGAGCAAGGGATACATACAATATACTCAATAATTTAAGATAAACAAATGGCCTCTAACAGCAGATAGGAAAAGTTACAGTACTTTTTATTACCCTGTTCTAATAATTTTAGTTGCAATAATAAACTGAAAGTTATTGGAAAATATAATTTTCTTGTATTTCATTTGGAACAACTGAAATGAGATATTGCATCTATTAAATTATGTCTCTATTTCAAAAAAAAGAAACAATTTTATAAGTACCAGGAATCATTACCAGGCAATGAAATAATAATCTTGACCTAAACTAGTTGTTGTGGAGTTGATACTGACTCCTGGCAACCCCATGTGTGTCAGAGCAGAACTGTGCTCCACAGGTTTTCAAAGGCTGGTTTTGCAGTAGACTGCCAGGTCTTTCTTCCAAGACACCTCTGTGTGGACTCAAACAGCCAACCTTTTGGGTAGCAGCTGAACGTGTTAACCGTTTTCACCACGCAGGGACCCCAATCTTGACCCAGGAAGTTAAATTAGCCTCAGGAAAAAACCGCATTTTTATGCAAATAATGTGCACACACCTTCTGCTTGCGGGCCACACCCTCCCCCTATAAGGTATATTCCTGAGCACTATGCTAATTATTTTTTTACAGCAACATGTGGAAGAGGATAGGCATGGCAGCACTTGTGAGGGTGCCTTGTGGCAGGAGGGCGGGGCCAGCAAACAAACGTAGAAGGTGGGTTCTATTTGTGTAAAAATATGGTAAATAGTGGTAACTTTTATCTCAATAGATTCTGTTACAGGCAGTAGTACCTGTTCAGAACATCTACATTATACTAACTTATGTTTAAAGTTTAAAACTTCCATCCACCATTCACAATTATTTTCTATTCTATGAAATTTCATGACTCACCCCAAAGTATACAACAGGTATCTTTTCTCATCTTTTTAAAACAAAGCAAAGTTTGATCCAGCCTCAAATCACAATCTCCCTCTAAAATTTATTAATATGTTCACAAAGTATGGAGATAAAATAGAGAGAGAAAAGGGGGGTGGAGGGAAGACAAGGGAAGAAAAGGGGAGGGGAGGGAAGGAAAGGGAACAGAATCCCATGAAGTAATCTTAATCATAAAATTAAACTCCAGACAGCATCAGGATCTTCCACCAACCATTCACTCAAATAAAGAACAGAGCTTTTCATTTTTTTCTTTGAAATTTTCTGTTTTTCTCAAATTTTAGCAATGAACATGTACTGCCTCTTAATCATAAAATTAAACTCCAGACAGCATCAGGATCTTCCACCAACCATTCACTCAAATAAAAAATAAAGAACAGAGCTTTTCATTTTTTTCTTGAAATTTTCCGTTTTTCTCAAATTTTAGCAAAGAACATGTACTGCCTCTCTAACAAAGCGGGAAAGATATTATTTTAAAAATAGCTTTCATTTTCTTCCAATTTTGGCAAACGTAAAAGTTTATAATGATACCCTGTACATTATATCTATTTAACTAGGCTATTTTTAGTAAACACAATTCTACTACAAGGGATGAGACATATCTCACTTTTAATTAGACCACCCACATCATTTGCCAGCCAAATATTTCAAATACACAAATGTGTTAATATGCATTTGATAAATACAACTATATTTATTATATGAAATAATGAAATTGATTTTTAAATGAAAATATAAATTGCCATTTTTTAATATACTACACTTCAACAAACCCATAGTAAAGCTAAGAAAAATATGAAATAAGAACAAAACCAGATTCAAAAAACAAAATAAAAAGAAAAGTCTGTCACTGGTAACCAACTGCTTCATTTAGGGAGATAGGAAAGGATGTTTACTCCTCACTGGCCAAGCTCCCAGGGAAGAAGAGAAAAAGCTGTTACTTTGTCTACATTTTGGAAATATAAAACAGTCTGACCTGATAGATGCCAAGAAATGTTAGACTACCCAGCAAAACCACTGGGTATGATGATTCATATACTGTTTTAGCTAGCAAGAATTTCAAAGATCATTTAGTGTAACTCTTGATTTTAGTTTTGAGGAAAGCAGGTTCAAAGCAGCTAAGTGACTTAAGGTCACAAAGAAATATCGTTGAAACGATTGGGTTTAGCATACTAGTCTCCTGACTCTTAGTTTGATGCTTTTTACCCGAGACTGTCTTTTTTGAGGAGCTATCTGGAGCATCCGTTTCCCTATATTTGAACTACACTTTGCTCTTACTGACTTGCATTAATTAATGGACATTATGTTTCTTAAGTCAGGAATACTGACAGGACACAGTTCCTCTTCTTCTCTTACATCCCCCCAGTACAAGCTTCTGTGTCTCAGGGAAGAGTGCTCACAACGAGAAAGCAGGAAACCAGTAGAACACTAGTTTTCTGTCAATAGCTATGAAACCCAATGGTGTCTGACTTTTCCATCTTTCAGTTTTTTCAAAAACTTCTTTTATTCAAAACATTGACTGAGTGCTACGTATGGGGATATAAAGATAAAAATGATACAGTCCTTCTTTTTTCCAGGTATTCAATTTATTAAGACAGACAGACATGTAAACCAAACATGATTTGAAGCACCAAAGCTTTTATACAAATGTAGGTCATAATGTGCTGCTCTTCTTTTTTAATTGTTTTGTTTTTGAAGAACACAAGATTTAGAATACAGTGTGATGGAAAGAACTAAGCATCTGGAGTCAGACTGGCCGTGTATAAAATCTAATACTGCAAGGATGATAAAGCTTAAGCTTCCTCATCTGCAAAATAAAATTGTTACAACTATCTTGACTGTATAACTAAGTCTCATAATGGCTATGCACAGGACTAAGAATGCTTTTCTAGCAATAGTACAGTTCTTTGCATATATTTGGCACTAAAGCAGATACTGCTGGTTGCCTACACATCCTCCAGGGTCGCTATGAATCGGAATTGACTCGATGGCAATGGGTTTGGGTTTCTGTTTTATTATGCTTACTAAGAAAACTCCCATTTTGTTAGATGCAGCAAAGTGCACAGATAAACTTCTCACTTGACCAGACTCTCCCGCAGCTAGAAGTAGTCATGACAATTCTTATCAAGGAGAAGTAAGCTCAGGATTCTGGGGAAAGCTTCCACTTTTTTTTTTTTTTTTGCCCGGAATGTAGATCCACTGCCTAAATGTGCAGCACTGAAAGGCAAACAGGATAAAAAACAACACACTAAAGAT